CAGGAATCAAACCAGCAACCTTGGCACATGGGACAATGCTCAACCAACTGAGCCACACTGGCTGAGCTAACACAATGTACTTTGACAGAATACACTAGTTTCTGGTGAATCATCTGGCTGCTCACAAAAATCAACAGCATCTAGTGACTTAACACTCAAATGTTAAAGTTCACATTTCTTATTCCTGGAATGGACAGTTTGATAGTTCTTTATACTCTGCTCCCATCTACCTATGAGATAGAGAAAAGGTAAGGATGAGGCAAGGGAGGCAGTGAACAAGTATCGTGCCAGGTGGGAGTTTGGTAATATCGTTTAACTTTACTGTCTTCTAATATTTTCAAGCTATGAAACATAAAGCAAAAAACAAAATTCTAAACTCACCAAGATTTTGATATCCAGTATTATTGGGAAGCAGATTATAAAGAAAGAAAATACATTGTATTTGCTTATTATCTAATTTCTCCAAAATGCATATGGGCTGAGAAACTTTCTGAACTAATCTACATGCTGTTTCATGACATTTGTCATGAGCAGTAAATATAAGGTGGGCATTGCACAGTTATTAAATATACTTGCATAAATTAGAAAGGATTTTAAATATTCTAAGATTAACACTATGTATTTAATATTATATAAAGCTTTCATACACCACCTAAAAGAAGTCAATGTTTCTGATTTGTTATTTAATAGGAAGGAGAAAATACTTTTGGGGAGTAAAAATTAGTATTAGAAAATCTGAGTCCAGAAAAAGGGTTTGCACAGAGTAGGCCCTTAATATATTTTTTTAAATCCTCATCCGAGGACATTTTTCCATTTATTTTATTTATTTATTTTTATCCTCACCCGAGGACATTTTTCCGTCTTTTGTTCAGATAGAGTGGGAGGGAGAGAGAGAAAGAGAGAAACATCGACGTGAAAGGGACACATCGAGTGGCTGCCTTCCACAAGACCCAACCAGGGCCAGGGACAAACTGCAACCGAGGTACGTGCCCTTGGCGGGAACCGAACCCGGGTCTCTCTGGACCGCAGGCCGATGCTCTACCTCTGAGCCAAACTAGCCAGGGTGGCCCTTAATATTTTTGAATAAATAAATCTGATAATGTTCTATGATAACAAATCAGAATAATTGGGTAGACAAAAACAGTTATAAAAACAATATCCTGTAATTGAACAGGAACTTTAACTTCTGGAAATCATTTTTACAACATATGTTCTTCATTACAACTCTGTAAGAGAGATACGTATTATAATCCCATTTTGCAGATGAGGAAACTGAGATCCAGAGAGGTTAAATGACTTGTCCCAAATCATACAGCTTTGGTATTAGGACCTAAATTAAAAGATTCTCCTTCATTACCCTATCTTTCAAAATACAATAGTTAAAGTAATATAATGTCAAAAAACAACACAAATTCTTTTACACTATACAAATCATGTCCTTATAAAACCAATACAAATAATAATGGCATTCATCTGGCTTTTAAATAGACTGTAAACTTCTGGAAGGTAGTATGTAACTCTGTTCATTCTTTCATTCCGTCCAAAAATATTAGCCAGCTGCTTTGTTAGAAAATAGTATAAAACATGGCCTATGTCCTTGAAGAGCACACATTCTACTTGGGTAGAAGGAGGAAGAAGACAGAGGAGCAAAGCATAAAGCAAAGTAACACACATAATAAAGGCATTACAAAGTGCTATGGTGACAAGAAGAGAGCTATTAATTCTGCTTTGTGGGAGTTAAGGAAAATTCAGTGGTTACCTTGCCTGTGAATCTGTCATTCAGCTTTCTCAATTTCCTATATTTATTATAGCGTTCAGATATTTTGAACTACCCCTTCAGATACTCAAAAATACGAAATTTAACAATTAATTTCAAATTAGTTGATAAACGTTAACCCAGTAAAGCTTCATCCTTCAAAACATGCTTCCTAAATTTAAAAAAAAAACACACACAAGTTTCCATTGGTGTACATTTGCTCATAACATAAAGAAAGCTTAGTATAGATGAAAAAACTTCCAGATAATATGGAAAGGTCTTTTAATACCCCTCTATAGAAACAATCAAGCCTGTATTCTGTTTCAAGAGGTTTATAAAAAAGTGAGAAATAATTTTTAAAAGGGTTTAGGGGATATTATTTACATCTTTTCTGATGGAGGAATCTAGATTCAGTGAATTTGGGGAAGGGCCTCTTTACATCTATGAGTTGATGACCTTATATGACCAGAACTATGAAGAGTCACAAAGCAAATAAAATCTTTGTCCTGAAAGAGCTTATTTACAATCTAGTTCACACATTCATTGATTTGTTCATTCAATACAGACAACTGAGGAGGAGGTGCTCTCTGCAGGAAAAGAAAACCAGAGAAAAGGCAAAACATTACAAATTTATAACTCAGAAAAAGAGCCAAAGTTAAAGTTTGAGATATAATAATCTCGCTTGCTTTTTATTTTTTATCATGGTATTATATACACAGAATTTACTACTTTAACCACTTTTAAGCATATAGTTCAGTGGCATTAAGTATATTCACATTGTTGCACGACTGTCACCACTACACATTCCCAGAACATTTTCATCATCCCCTATGGAAAATGTACCTACTAAACACTAACTCCCTATTCCCTTCTCCCCTCAGCCCCTGTCAATCTCTCTTCTAATTTCTGTTCCCATGCCTTGCCTGTTTTAGGTACTTCATATAAGTGGAATCATTAATATTTGCCCTTTTGTGTATACCTTCTTTCACATAATGACATCAAGGTTCATCCATATTGTAACATATATCATAATTTCATTCCTTTCAAGGCCGAATAAAATTCCATTATTTGTATATACCACATTTTGTTTTCATTCATTTGCTAATGGACATTTGGTGGTTTTTTTCCATCTTTTGGCTACTGAGAATAATGCTGCTATGGCACATGGTTGTACAGGTATCTGTGAGAGACTCTGCTTTCGATTCTTTAGGATATATATCCAGAAGTAAAATTGCTGGGTCACATGGTAATTCTATGTTCAATTTTTTTGAGGAACTGCCAGTTCTTATACAGCAGCCATACTATTTTACATTCCCATCAACAATGAACACGGGTTGCAATCTCTTCACATCTTTGCTAACCCTTGCTAATTTGTTTTTTATTTTTATATTAGCTATCCTAATGTGGGTAAAGTGGTATCTCATGGTTTTAATTAGAATTTCCCTAATGATTAGTGATGTTGAGCATCTTTTTATGTGCTTATTGGCCATTTGTGTATCTTCTCTGGAGAAATGTCTATTCAACTCCTTTGTATAATTAACTTTGACCACAGTTAGACAACTATCCCTGGGAAACAGTGACAGCATTGTTTTATCAAGTTGAATTAAGTGAAATCCTTCCTTTTGGCCTACAAAAAAGAACAAAGAAATGATTCTCTGTATTTGTTGGTAGTAACAACCAAATAAAAAATGCATTGTGAAGAATGCAACTGGAGCCAATTCCTTAGTGAAAGAGTCCCTAGGATATGGCTAACCCTTAGTTCCTTCCTTTGCACTTTCATGTAAATCATACTTATTGAGAGTACCTGCTGTATTAGTTTCCTATTTCTGCTATAGCAAATTACTATAAACCTCGTGGTTTAAAACAACACAGATTTATTATCTTATTGTTCTGGAGGTCAAAAGTCTAAAATTAAGATCTTGGCATGGTCCTCCTTTTGGAGGCTTCAGGAGAGAACCCCTTTCTTCCCATTTGTCAGTTTCCACAGGTGCCTGCTTTCTTTGGTTAATGGTCCCTTACATCTCTGATCTCTTATTTTTAAATTAAAATTTAAATTTGTTCCAGTTTTATTGAGATGTAATCAACAAAACAACATTATATAAGCTTAGGGTGTACAACATAATGATATACGTGTATATTACGAAATGGTCACCATAATAAGTCTAGATAACATCCATCACATCACGTATACATTTTTTTTTCCCCTTGTGATGAGAACTTTTAAGATCTACTCTTAGCAACTTTCAAATGTACACTATGGTCACCATGCTGTACTTACTTACCTCTTGCTTCTATGGCCAGATCTCCTATTACTGTCTTTTGATTACTGAATTTCTTGCCTCTTCCCTTATAAGGACCCTACTGATTACAGTGTGACCACCTGGATAATCAAGTTCATTTCCCCGTCTCAACATCCTTAATCACATAAGAAAGTCCCTTTTGCCATGTACATTAGCATATTCACAGGTTCTGGGGATTAGGAGGTGGACATCTTTGGGGCCATTATTCTACCACACCTACTATGTGCCTGTGAATTCAAAATCGAAAAATTATAGCATCAATGTATCCTACAGAGATCATTTTTCTCTTAGATTGAACTACCCACCTCGTTTACCAATAGTAAGGAGGCTTTCTAACGTGTTACCAGCCCCTGCACCAGAGAAATAGTGAATTGCAATTTGCTAATATAAACAATCACAAAGACACAGCAGCCCCATTTTTATTACTACTGTTACTGTTTTGGTAAGGAAACACAAGAAAATTAAAGCAGTTTCTCCCATTAGATTAGCCACCACTACTAGGCTCACCAGCACTGCGTTCATAGCGCGGGTAGGGGCAATAAGACCAGGAGAGAGCACTGGGCAACTAAGGACCTGGACGACTCTGGTGAACGACGACCTCTTCCACGTGTTCCTTCCCATTGGAGAGCGGCGGGACCGGCCTCCCGCGCCCGACCCCAGCGGGCGGAGAAGGTGGAGCCTCTCTAGGCCGCAGGGGCCTCCTCGGTCGAAGACGCCCACCGCGCAGCGTGAGAGTTCGGCCCCGCCCCATTCCCGCCCCATTCCCGCCCCATTCCCGCGACACTGGTGGCTCCGCCCCTCCAAGCTCCTTTCCCTCCTTCCGCTCGCTCCGCCTCCGGAAGCCGAGCGTGCCGCTGGGAGCCGCTGGCTGCGGAGCGCGCCGGCGCGTGCGCACGAGCTCTGAACGCCGTGGGCGGCGGGGGAGGCCGCCTTCATCCACGGCCCCCAGGTGAGCCGCGCGTGAGCGACCCCTTCTTCCGGCGCCCGCCAGCTTCCTCTCCGTTCGGGATCCGTTTCCCCTCCGGAGCCGGGGCCGCGGCGAGCGCTCAGGGTCGGTATAAGGAAGAGCGCGGGAGGGAAGGAGGCGCCCTGCCAGCCCTCGGGCGGCGGGTGTAACCACAACGGAGGCGTCTGAGCCGCGGGGCCGCCCGCATCCCCAGCCTCGATGAGCACGGCCTGTCTGCATGGCGCGTTCGGGGTGGCGTGGGGGTTGGGACCAGGGCCGGACTCAGGTCACCAGCGCTCCCCTCCGCGGACTTGAACCTGAACCCTGAACTCTGAGGCGTGAGGGGCTGTCCGTTATCTTCCGCCACCTCGCGGGGTGGGGAGCGGGTGGTGGACGGACCCTCAGTTCCTGAAACACATGTTTACTTGCTTACTTTGGGCCTAGCTTTTCGTGTACACAATCGGTTACCTTTGGATCATATTATGTATCTGACTATAGAAACCTAATGTCACAGTAACAAAATGACAGTTCGAAAAATGCCAATTCTGAGTTGCGTGTTTTCCTGCTGAGCCTTGAAGGCGTTAGTGTTTCTACTGCTGACTCTGCAGGAGTTGCATGAGGGTGGGTGTCCCAGACGGCGTCGCGAATCCCTGTCTTCACCGAGCACCACACAAGGGTTTTTAAGGTCTAATGAACTATCCTCTCAGTTTTACCCTGTCCCAATATGTTGTTACTATTTTAAGTCCGTATTTTTATTATTCTCCAATATAAATGGAAAGAAACCTCACTAACTTTGAAGTAAATATTATCAAGAGGGTTGCTCAGTGGATGAGATTGTTGGATAACTTTTCCATAAATTAAATCATCTGAGCGTTTAAATCCTTAAAATAACGGTATCTGTTGGATATTATCAACCCACATTTAAACCTGAAAAGTTTCCCAGGCACTGGCTCTGCACCCCCACTCCTGAACTGAGGCCACTTAGGGAGGCAGATGCTTACAACTGTTGGGGTCTACATGAACCCTGTAAATGCAGATAAGGGGAGTGTGGTGGGGGAGGAGGGGAGGGTGAAAGAGGATTGTGGGAAACTATCAAGGAAACTAGCTCAGGGTAAAGAGGTGACTTTTTTGCTTACATAGCTATCAAAGAGCAGAACCACTGCTCAATCTTCAGTCTCCTAACTCCAAACTCCTTCATCCGATAACCATTCTTTGAATACTGTTTGTCAGATCCTACTTTAGGCACTAAGAATAGTATAAAGATGAGCTAGCTATCAGGAGTTTCCAGTCTGGTAAGGAGACAGCAAGTCAGGAACTGTTAGCTATGAAGATCAAGGATTTCAAAGAAGTAGCTAATCATGTGACTTTTGGATTTAGACCTAGTTCATATAGTTTTAGTGTTGGGAAAGAACTATCCTTCTAATGTATGACTTCCCTCTACAGCATCCTAGCAAGTGGACATTTAGTCTTTTCTCCACCATTATCTAGTGATCATGGCTCCTAATCTTAGACAGTAGTCCAGTCCATTTTTGAGCAATCCTGTCATTAAACTCCATCTGTTGATGCAAGTTCTACCTCTAGAACTACAAGTAACAGCTCTAAAATCTTAGCGGCACTGCTACTAAGACTAGTGAGATTGAAAAAATAATATAGTTTTTTTTTTAGGTAGAAGAAAAAAAAATTTTATTTCTTTTTGTTACAGATGTTTCTCTTTTCCCCCATTGACACCCTCCTCTCGATCCCACCCACCTCAAATAATATTTTTTAAAGGCTATGACATTATAATGATGTTTTCCATTTAATTCCATCTATGTAAAGTATTAAAATATTTTTAAATCAATAAGTCAACTGGTAATTTAAGGTCTATAACCAAACCAATGGTCCCTGCACCATGCTAGAGGCAACTACTTTGAATATTTTTATCCATTTCTTCCAATATATAATTCCACATATCTAAATAATATGCTTTCATTTTTCCATGTTAGATAGCCTGTCTACAATAAAATCTCTTATACTGGATTCCCTTTAACACAGTAAGACATATATGTATACGCTTCCTTTGTCACCTCCCATATGCGGTTATGTCAGTTTGTGGTTAAATTTTTAGAGGTTTGCCTTCGAGGTACCTGTACAGCCTATGTGTGTGCCGAGGCAGCTCTTACTTTCCATAGAGGCCATCACCTTTCTGCGGCTGCTTCAGTAACTGCAGTGGAGTAGAATAGGGCAAAGACAGGTACTGAAACAGAGAAGTTTGTCCATCTTCGTTGACTGCTTTCACGAAAATAATGTTTGGGCTGACTTAACTAATCTTACGAAGTTTTAACACCATCGTTTCTTATTCTGCACTCTAACTGTACTTAATTTATAGAAGACAGATTTTCCTTAGAATTCACTTAAGTGTCCATGTTTGTGATATGCCTGCCTTGATGATATATTTTGATTTATCTTGTGAAGTGAGCGATTAGACCTATTTTTTGAATTATTGACTTTGGAATTGCTCCTGTAGCCCCATTATCAATTCACTGGTCATTGTCTTTTGGTGGGTTTTTGGGGTCATGTTTCTCTTGATATGTTACCTAAAATTCTCAGTTTGGAAGAACTATGAATTACTGTATAAAAATTAAAAGTATTTTAAAATTACTCTTTTGTTTGATGGTTACATTTTCCTTTTCAGATATATTTGTGCCATTATGGATCGGTTTGATGATATATCAGAAGGTGAAGTGGACCATTCTTTCTTTGACAGTGACTTTGAAGAAGCAGATAAAAGTGAAAATAACTCATTTTTTGACAAGCAAAATGATAACCCTAAAGAGAAAATAGACAAAGATATGGTAAATGTAAACTCGAAATTTGGAATGCAAAGAAAAGAAAATGATCTTATTGAGAAAGAAAAAGATCTTACTGAGAAAGAAAATGATCTTACTGAAAAAGAAAATGAAAAAGAAGAGAAAATTCCTCCAGAAGAACACTGTATAGAAAATGGTAATACACAAACCACAAATTCTTTATCATTAACCACTTCTTCGAGATCAAAAAAACCGTGTGATGCTACAACAGGACATAAAATACACTTGACCATTCCAAATAGAATTCCCAAAATTGTAAAAGAAAGTGAAGATGACTACTATACAGATGGAGAGGAAAGCAGTGATGATGGGAAAAAACATGCCAGGTCCAAGTCAGCTAAACCATCTAGTAACAAAAAAGGCATAAGTAAAAAGTATTCCAAAAGTAGTTCCTTTTCCTCTTTGTCCTCATCTTCAAGTTCAGATGCAGATAGTTCAGATGCAGAATCTGATAATTGTACACCTGATTCATCCCCTTCATTAAAGAAACATCTCTCTGATATAAACCACTTGTCACCAAAACAGAAATATAAACTAGGAATAAAATCAGCAGGAACACAGCCTTCAAGTACTAAACCAAAAGTCAATGACTACACTGAAGAATCTGAAGATACTGTGACAGATGTCACTCCTTTATCAACCCCAGACATCAGCCCTGTCCAGTCTTTTGAACTGGGTGCATCAAACGATCAAAAAGTTAAAGTTAAAAGGCAAGAAAACGTGAGTCAAGAAGTGTATGGAAATGTTGAGGATTTAAAAAATAATTTGAAATCGGCCAAAAAAGGGAAAGAAAAACATGGGTTCGATCTAACCTCGAAATCTTCAGTGTTAGATTCCAATTTAGACCACAGATACAAACAAAAAGCCTTACATGACACAATGGATCTGAATAATCTCTTGAAAGGTAATTTTTCTTTTTATTGAGCTTAAATATTAAATGCTATGAATTGGCATTGATTTTTCTAGTTGATATGTTTTGTTTGGGATAATTGATATTATCATAACTTTACTAAATATTCCATTTTACCATAAAATATCAGATATATCATTATTTATATCATTGCAAAGCTAATCAACTAGGCCTAGAAAAGTGCTTCACACTAATTTTTTTTTTAGTGTCATACAAACTCAAAATGCCTAGAGGGATCAAATGGATAAGATAATTGAAGGAAGTGGAGCCAGATTTTCCCACTTTTGATAGAGACGCTGGCATTAGATCTATTTCACTTTCATCTTTAAGAAAGGTAACAGCACTGAGGTTAAAATAACCTGACCAGTTGTCTTCATACTAGGGAAAGTGGCAAGAATACTGGCAAATGAAAGAATTCAGAGTAAACCGTAGGGTACTATTCAGATTTTAAGTTAAAGGTGAAAGAGCATTGTTTGAAAGTAATTACCTAGTTGATGAAATAGCATAATTCAAGTTTTAGTGGCTTTTAAATATATTTTTAAATTAGAATAATCTTGATAGCTGTATCAATTTTTTTATTATCTACATTTCATTTGAAAGGAACAATACATTCCAGGTGAAATAAACATAGCTTCAGACTTCCTTTGGGCTTGTTAATGTAACTAAAAATATTAGGCTTGCAGGTTAGGTTTTAGGTCTGTTGAAGATAACATTTGTAAGTTATAAATAGGATTCTCTTTGTTTGAAATGTTAGTTGAAAGACCAAATCTTTAGCTTCATGTTTTACATAATGGTGGAAATGTAAGGGCATAAATAAATCACTTATTTAATCAAATATCTCAGTCAGATTGATAAAGTATATTTTGGAACAGTTTTCACTTGTGAATGTTCCCTCTTTTGTAGGTTTGCTTTTTTCCTTTGCTCTGATTGTCCCTATTTAGTGTGTCTGGAACATCAGACTCTCCACATTGGCATCAGCACCTAGTGGCTAAGCCTCCACTATGTATCTTTCCTGATAAAGGTTCATTCAATCTCTTAAAACTTTCAAGATTGAAACATTTTGTTCTTGCCCCTCTGCTTATTTCGCTAACAACCAGAGTGATCTTTTAAAAAAGTAAGCCAGTTCCCCCTGGTTAGTTTGCTCAGCGTTAGCGTGTTGGCCTGTGGACCAAAGAGTTGCGGGTTCTATTCTGGTCAAGAGCACTGGACTGCAGTCCACTCCCCAGCCCTGGTCAGGGTAGTGCGGGAGGCAGCCAGTCAATGTGTCTCTCACGTCAGTGTGTCGTCGTACCCCCGCCCCGGTATCTGAAGATAAAAGGAAAAAATATCCTCGAGTGAGGATTAAAAAAATAAATGAAAAATAAACCAATTCTATTTTCTTAACTCTTCAGTGGGCTTACTCTTGTTCTTGTTAATCCCAACCCAAGGATATTTTTTTCCCTTTTTTTTTTTTTTCCTTAACAGAATGGAAGGGAGGGGGTTTGGGAGGGAGAGAGAGAGAAACATCTACTGGTTGCCTGCCACACACACCCTGACCAGGGCCAGAAAGCGAACCCACGACCCAGGTATGTGCCCTTGAATGGGATTCGAACCCACAACACTTCAGTTCACGGGCTGACACTCTAACCACTTAGCAAAACCCTCCGGGGCTGGTGTTAACTCTTATATTAAAAATAAAATCCAGCCCTGGCCAGTGTGGTTTAGTTGGTTGGAATGTCATCCTGTGCACCTGAAGGTCACTGGTTCGATCCCAGTCAGGGCACGTACCTAGGCTGTGGGTTCGTTTCTCAGAACACTTTGTTCTTAAGGGTCATTTGCACTTACTGTTGCTCTTTTCTTTGCATAGGCTGCATTTTTTTTTTGTTTCAGGTCTCAGCTTATATATTACTTCCTCAGACTTTTTCTTAAAATTCTATCTAGAGTAGCTGCACACCCTTGACCCTTGCTTCTCGGTCCCAAAAGCCTGTTTCCTTCTATCAGAATACTTATTAGACCCTGAAAATAGTGTAGTTTGTTTGCTTTTCTCTCCCATTGGAGTGTAAACAGCAGGGGCAGGATCTTGTTCCTTACTAGAATCCCTAAATCTAGCAAGTATTGGCACATAATAGACAACATTTGCCAACTGAAGGAACTATAAGGAAGCTTCTGTTGTTGCACAGCTCTCATGGTTAGGAAATGTATTTTGTGTTTCACTGAAACTTGACTTTTTATCAATTATTCATTAGTCTAAGATTTGCCATCTCAAATACATAGAATAAGTCTGTGCCTCCTGCATTATAACCTTTAGTATATTTGATAAATAACCTTCTCTGGAAAAACTAATTCTTTAAAAAAAATTTTTTTTTTCCTTTATTGATTTTAGAGAGAGAAGAAATGAGAAGGAGAAAGAGACAGAAACATCGACGAGAGAGAATTGGCCGCCTCCTGCATGCCCCCCACTGGGGATTGGGCCCATAACCTGGGCATGTGTCCTGAATTGAACTGGCGACCTCTTGGTGCATGGGTCAATGCTCAACCACTGAGCCACACTGGCCAGACGGGAAACTAATTCTTTGTCAAGCCATCCAGTATAACAATATTCACTTTAAAATATTCTTATGGCCCTGGCCAGTTTGGCTCAGCGGTTAGAGCATCGGCCTGCGGTCCAGAGAGACCCGGGTTCGGTTCTCGCTAAGTGTAACTCGGTTGCAGTTTGTCCCCGGCCCTGGTTGGTCGTGTGGGTGGCAGCCACTCGATGTGTCCCTTTCACGTCAATTTTCTCTCTCTCTCACTCTCTCTCCCTCCCATTCTGTCTGAACAAAAAATGGAAAAATGTCCTCAAGTGAGGATATAAAAAATAAAATATTCTTAAGGCACTTTCCAGTCTGTAAGATTTTGTATGATTCATCAGGTTCATAACTCATCAAGTTGAGAACTGCATCCCATTTCTTTCAGATTTCCATTTACCATGTTAAAAGTTAAATCAGAAATTTAAATCATATTAATTAGATCATTAAAAATAGTAGTAATAGCCCCGACCGGTTTGGCTCGGCAGTTAGAACGTTGGCCTGCAGACCAAAGAGTCACAGGTTTGATTCCAGTCAAGGGAACGTACCTTGGTTGTGATTCATCCCTGGCCCTTATCGGGGTTGTGTGGGAGGCAACCAGTCGATGTTTCTCTCTCCCTCCCACTCTATTTGAAGATAAATGGAAAAATATCCTTGGGTGAGGATTAAAAAAAAAATAGTAGTGATAAACCCATTATGAATTAATATAAGTAACATGTTTTATGAAACACAACTGTATTTCCAAAATACTGTGATTTTTGCTAATTGCTAATGTGTGCAGAAGATCACTGGATTCTCATATCAGCTACTACATACGACCATTGTAATTTATTGTTTTGGTCAAAGTATATTAAGAAAATATGGTTGCGCCCTGGCCAGTTTGGCTCAGCGGTTAGAGCGTTGGCCTGCGGTCCGGAGAGACCCGGGTTCGGTTCCCGCTAAGGGCACGTACTTCGGTTGCAGTTTGTCCCCGGCCCTGGTTGGTCGTGCGGGTGGCAGCCACTTGATGTGTCCCTTCACGTCGATGTTTCTCTCTCTCTCTCCCTTCCTCTCTCTCCCTCCCACTCTATCTGTACAAAAAATGGAAAAATATCCTCGGGTGAGGATAAAAAAAAAAAGAAAATATGGTTGCACACAGATATATGATTGGAAAATAGAGGAGTACTTTAATAGCCTTTTCAGTTAAGATTAGATATTCTTTGCTACCACACCAATATTCCAAAAGTAGTAGTTTCTTAAATGTTAGCTGCAGTGTGAAATTTGAAATTAACATTAGTTTGTAGTTTATTACATTAAGAATTTATTAGTCTGTCTTACATTTTTAATGATTTTGTAACATGGTAGATGGGTTATTTAGAAAATACTTGTTCACTGAGCTACAAATGTTGACATATTTCATAATACACTACACAGAAATCATAAGTGTTAATATCACTACCAGTCTAATTAGAAAGCCCTTGGGAAGCTGTAAAACTCAAATTTACCAAAAATTAAATTTTTGCTAGAATGCTCAGATTTTTCTTTTTATTGCCAACAAATACTGCCAGTTCTTTTCCTTAAAGTGACAGGGCTGTTTTTTAAAGTTATTTTCAATGCAAAAACTGTGGGGTGGTCCAGATTAAGCCATAATAATTCATCTGATGAGGTAATGCAGACTGCTCACTAATACTTTTTTTTGTGTTAATAATCTGCATCTTAATATATTTGCCTTTTATTGTTGTTTGTTTTTTGTTAATCCTCAGCAGAGGATATTTTTTCCATTGATTTTTTTTAGAGAGTGGAAGGGAGGGGAGGGAGAGAGAGAGAGAGAGAGAGAAACATCAATGTGAGAGAGATACATTGATTGGTTGCCTCCCACACGCACTTCAAATGGGGGGCTGAGGGCTGAACTTGCAACCCAGGTATGTGCCCTTGACCAGGAATCCAACCTGAGACCCTTCAGTCCACAATCTGACACTCTATTACTTAGCAATGCCTGCCAGAGCTATTTGCCCTTTTTATATGTTGAATTTCTACTGCCACATTGTTCTTAATAATTTCTACTGTAATTTATATGTGTTTAATAGTAGCAGTCTAACATTTGGCATTCTAAAGTATCTTATAAAACTTTCTTATGACATTGAGTAAAAAAATTAAGAACATGAATATTGAAAAGAAAATGTTATAGCCCTGGCCGGTTTGGCTCAGCGGTTGGAGTGTCGGCCTGCGGTCCTGAGAGACCCGGGTTTGGTTCCCGCTATGGGCGCGTACCTCGGTTGCAGTTTGTCCCCGGCCCTGGTTGGTCGTGTGGGTGGCAGCCACTCGATGTGTCCCTTCACGTCGATGTTTCTCTCTCTCTCTTCCTCTCTCTCCCTCCCGCTCTATCTGAACAAAAAATGGAAAAATGTCCTCGGGTGAGGATAAAAAAAAAAAAAAAAGAAAATGTTATAGAAGATAAAAATGTATATG